GGAGGCTGAGGCAAGAGAATTGCTTAAGCTCAAGAGTTTGAGGTTGCTGTGAGCTGTGATGCCATGACACTCTACCAAGGATGACGAAGTGAGACTCTGTGTCAAAAAAAAAGATAGCACCATTTCTTTCATAACTCTGTGTTATTTAAAACAGAAACCACTTTTGGATGCTTCATCAACCACCAAAAGGATGACCATAGTTGTCACTATTTTATTTCTTTGAGAGTGAATCTGAAGTTGGGAGTTTAGGTCCACATGAATCATGCTGCATTAAAAAGGAAGAAAGAATATGTTCAGTTAGCATATCAAACTTCTTTTCCCCTTCTGTGTGACTCTTGGAATTGTGCTTACCTGGTATGCTCAAAACTCTTACCTGGTTGTTAGAATTCCTACAAAGGCAATTTTGTCAGTATAATTTTGTTACATTTATTTATCCAAAAGGGAATTAGAACTTATGTAATGTATTTTGCCACCTTACTACTGTGCTTGGTAAAATTTTATATATTGCATTTATAATGTATATTTGTTAGGTTCTGACAAAAAGTAATGAGTGAGATAATTTGTTATTTTTAAAATTTCTTCCAGCTATGTCCTCTTATTTGGCCCAAGACCATTTGCCAGAAGAAGGCATAAATGCTTCATTCCAAAAAGTGGTGTTTAGAACATATGGAAGTCATAGTCTTGAGAATTTAAACTTAATGAAAGACTGGGAAAGTGGTGGATATGAAGAAGCCTTTAAACATTGTTCGTACATTACTAAACATAAGAGAATTCATAATGGAGAAAAACGCTACAAGTGTGAAAAATGTGGCAATACTTTTAACTATGGCTCAAGCCTTCATAGACATAAGAGAATTCATACTGGAGAGAAACCCTACAGATGTAATGAATGTGGCAAAGCTTTTAACTGCTGTTCACACCTTACAAAACATAAGAGAATTCATAGTGGAGAGAAACCTTACAAATGTGAAGAATGTAGCAAAGCCTTTTACACATATGCATGTCTTTGTGTACATAAAAGAATTCATACTGGAGAGAAACCCTTCAAATGTGAAGAATGTGGCAACACTTTTAACTACAGCTCAAGCCTTAATACACATAAGAGAATTCATACTGGAGAGAAACCTTACAAATGTGAAGAATGTGGCAAAACATTTAACTGTAGCTCAAACCTTCATTCACATAAGAGAATTCATACTGGAGAAAAACTCTACAAATGTAAAGACTGTGACAAAGCCTTTAACAAATATGCACATCTTACTGTACATAAAAATATTCATACTGGAGAAAAACCCTACAAATGTGAAGAATGTGGCAAAGCGTTTAACACATATGCATACCTTTCTGTACATAAAAGAATTCATACTGGAGAAAAACCCTACAAATGTAGAGAATGTGGCAAAGCTTTCAAGTGGTGCTCAGACCTTACTGCACACAATAGAGTTCACACTGGAGAGAAACCTTACAAATGTGAACAATGTGGCAAAACTTTTAAGTATAGCACAAACCTTCATAAACATAAGAGAATTCATACTGGAGAAAAACTATACAAATGTAAAGACTGTGGCAAAGCCTTTAATGAATATGCACATCTTACTGTACATAAAAATACTCATACTGGAGAAAAACCGAACAAATGTGAAGAATGTGGCAAAGTATTTAACACATATGCATACCTTTCTGTACATAAAAAAATTCATACTGGAGAGAAATCCTACAAATGTAATAACTGTGGCAAAACTTTTAACTATAGCTCAAGCTTTCATAGACACAAGAGAATTCATGCTGGAGAGTAACTACAAATGTAATGAATGTATGAAATCTTTTAACTGTTTGTAACATAGTAAACATAAAAAATTCATTTTGAGGAGAAACCCTATAAATGTGAGGAATTTGGCAAAGCCTTGAATCAGTGCTCATAGCTTTCTAAGCATACATACTAAATATAAACCTTACCAATATGAAGAATGTTGCAAAGCCTTAAGTTAGTACTGACACCTTTATAAACATAAGATAGGTCATACCAGACAAATGTGAAGAATGTGGCAGTCTTTACCCAGTGCTCTTACCTTACTGTGCATTCATACCTGAGCAAAATTCTACAAATGTAGAGAAAGTGGGAAAGCCATTAATAACTGGTCATGTATTGAAATAAGAGAGTTATGTTGAGTAATGCAGTGCTCTATTAAAAAATAATGTGGTACGTTACCAAACCATAGTTAGGTTCTTTGGAGAAAGATAAAAGCCCAGATTTGGGAGCTGTATACTGAAAGGGCCAGTTTGAACATCTAGTAAATGAGGAAAGCTGGACATAAAATTACACATAATTATACATATTATTTCATTGAAAATAAACCTATAGTGAAAACAGCACAGAGACTGCCTTCCATTGAGGAAAACATGCCTGGGAAAAACACAAGAACATTTTTGAGGATGATAAAAATGTTTTATTCTTAAATAGGGTGAAGGTTATATAGGATTATTTGTCAGCAATGTAGAATTAACCAAGACTTGTGCTTTTGAATGTATGTACATCTTACCTTGCATGTCTCACTGTATTTTAAACTATTTTTACTGTAGCATGTCTCACTTTAAAGCAAAAGCTAGAAATTAAGCTTAATGAGGAACACATGTTGACAGCTGTGACAGGGCAAAAGCTAAGCCTCTTTCACCAACCAGACAAGTTGTGGATACAATGGAAATGTTCTTGAAAATTAAAAGTGCTACTCTAGGAAACACATGAATGATAAGGTGAAACAGCCTATTGCTGATAGGAGGAAAGTTTGACTGGTTTGGATCAGCCACAACATGCCCATAAACCAAAGGCTAATTCAGAGCAGGGTCCCAACTCTTCAACTCTATGAAGGCTGAGAGGATAAGGAAGTTGTAGAAAAATAGTTTGAAGCTAGCAGAGGCTGGTTCATGCAGTTTAAGAAGCCATTTCCATAAAAGTCAGTAAACCTATCACTTGGGGAGGTGGGAGGAAGTCAGAAGTTCAAGAACAGCCTAAGCAAAGCCAGACCCACTCTACCCAGTAAAAATAGAAAATTTAGCCAGTGTGGTGGAATGGGCCTGTAGTCTCAGCTACTAGAGAGGCTGAGGCAGGAGGATGGCTCAAAC